TATTCCTGGGAGAATACTCTTAAGATCATGATTGTATACGATGTCTTGGATGACAAGACTTCTAGAAAATGCTGCTCTTTATCTCTGTCCCTCATATGTGCGCCTCTTGCACAAATTGTGCTTTTTCTTTTTTTATTTTTTCCTCCTCCTTCCCTTACCTGTATCTCACTCCTCACTGCGTCTGATCCGTCCTGACAGCTGTCGTTCCTCTGATTTGCCCTGCAAACACAACATGCACACACAGAGAAAGCAACCCAGTGAGCACCAGCGGTGTACCTCGTACAGCAGCATTACTGATATAACTGCACCTGAGTAATGCATTTTTCACATATTTCAGTCCGACCGGGTGTGAAGGGGTTAAAGGTTTCATTTGTTATTTATCCTGCTTCATGAGACGGGTTTAAGGAATCTACGAACGACTGCACAGAACAGCATATTGATTCTGTTTCATATTTTCCAGCTATGACAGCTTGAGAGAGTTGTGGAAAAGGCAAGAGCATCCAGAGAGTGATCCAGGGGGCAAATGAGGAGCTGGGAGACAGAATGAAATATCAACAGATAAAGTAGTAGAGAGAGAGAGAGAAAGAAAGGAAGCGATGCTAACTCACTTCAAGAATTGCTCCTGTGACAGGCCGCTGCTGTTGCACTGAAGGACATTTCATCTTAAGACCAACGACTGACCTCGTGCCAATAAAACAATGTTAAAACTGAGGCATTAGGTAAGTGTTTTCTGTCTGCTCTGCTTGTGTGCCAAAGCTCCCCTCCTTCACTCTTGGCTGGCATTTCTGAGAGCTTGGTGTTCTTTGTGTTGCCAGCATTCATGGCCAGGCTTTTTCTGAGCTGCAGAAACATAATTTAGGTAAACAAATTTAGCTCCTATTGCGCGTCACATTTTGTTTCACTACAGTTCCCGGGTAGAGGAAAGAGCTGATCACCGTGCCCGTGACCACATATTGTATTTCTATCGAGCGCTTATTCTAATGAATTGCAAGCCAATGAGCCTTTTAATTGTTTTCAGTTTACCACAGAATGCAAGATGATGCTGTCTTTTAATGTGTGCAGCACAATTTAATGCATTTAAGGCCTTTAACAGTCAGATGACCGTGTAAAGGTGGCGTATGTGACGGTAATCCAACACGCTTTGTGTCAAATCCAGTGATCATCTCATGGTCCGCTAGCTGTTTGTTCTGTGAAATAATGTTTCTCGAGAATCGCAGACTCCACATTTAGCTTCACGCCGACCGTGCTGTGTGGTTCAGTGGCACAAGACAATATAGAGCGTGATGGATCTTGCTGTGAAGTGAGTGGCAAAACCATTTGCGCTTTCAGTTACAAGTCAGCTACAACTCATACATCTGTTATGATTAAGTGCCTTCCAGAAACACTGTTTCAGCTTTAGTCATTATATCAGCATGGCTTCAGCAAGTCTCATGCCAAGCCAAATTAGATTTTGCCAGTTAAATATGCTCTCATTGAGTCATCCTTTCTGTTTATAGTCTTATGATAAATCTTTTCTGGTGGCAATCTTTCCTATAAGAGCAATCCTCTTCAAAGCAGCTCAAAGACTTTGGCAAAAACAGCATCATCATCCATATCAAGTGGATACTGGAGGACTTCTTGGAAAAGGCTTTATGGTTATTTATGGCGTGCCATTCAAATCTGACTAACAGTCAACAATTATTTGCCAAATACTGCTTGTGTGAAGCCCAGCTCAATAGCCTTTTTAGATCTCTCTACAGAGAACAGCTTGTTTTTCCTCATCTCTGTATCTCTCTGCAGACCTCTAATCCCGCTCCATTGTCTCTCAGTGCTGCTTTATGGAGGGTAAGGACATGAACAGAAGGGGAAAGCAGACATCATAATTAGAAACTCCCCATTAACACGACTGTTAAAATTCCCAATTTGTACACTCTTCCAGCTGAACCTTTTCCTGCACTTGTATAATAAAATCTACTCGGACTCGCAGCTGTCACTCATTTTGCTGCAATTTCGGACAAATTTATGTACGAGCAGTAGCTGCTGTTTCAATGCATTTTGTGATATAAGCACACATTGTTTCTGCTCAGTTTGCCTAATCCTCTAAGGAAACTGCAAAAAGTTTCTTCACATCCTCAAGCCCTACTTAGAGCCATTGTTTACCAACAGTAACAATAGCACACTGTACAGCACTGCACACTGGGAAAAGATTCCTAAATAAAATTATTATTAGCAAAATGTGCCACTATCAAAAGAAAAAGAGCTCTGATGCAATATTGCACAAGCTGCATCGTTCATGTTTGCTTAAATACAATATTTAAGAAAATGTGGTTACACTGCAAAACTGTTCATTTGACAACACTT